TGAAGAAATTCTTTCTGATGTCCAATTTGAACATCCCCTGGCACAGCTTGAGGTAACAACCTCTGAATTTTACCATGGCAGCCAGGCAAAAATGATTAACACTAGACTTCTTTCTTGAACCTCGATTCAGGAGAGGCATCTCCCACTAATCAGATCCTAACAGGGAACAAGTACCAAAAATAATGAAAGCAATCCAAAATCTCCAATGAAATGTTCTCGGTAACTGTCTAAATTATTAGCTGGAAGCAATTTTGTAAATTTGGTACCCCTCCCCCTCATTTGACTTCCTCTGGCAATCACAGTGGCCCTGGAAGGCTCCACCAGGCAGGAAGAATGGGCAGCAGGCCCATGGCAGCAAACCATTTAATGACTGGGTTGCTGTGTGAGTGACTGTCATCTGTGAGAAGAGGATGTTTTCCAGTTTGTCCTTGGCAGCCAAAGCTTTGCTCAAGGATAACCACATTGCAAAGACAGGGAATTTCAAGACCTGCTTTTGCTTTCAAGCATTTTCAGTGATGTGTGCTCTTATCTGAAGTTCAGATTTGGATCTGTAGTTCCTTGAAGCTCAAAGAGGGCTGAGCATCTCTAATTAGGAAGTGTAATCCCTTTAATTTCAAAATAGAGCTGTAGGCTTGTTTACATACAGTCAACCATAGAGGTCTCTCAAGATCTTCACTTTATAGGCAGTGGTCATCTACCGTTACTTCCCTTTTTTCTGTAATGTTAAATTTTTCTAGTTCAGTCTGGAAAAAAAAGCAGCTTTGGGCTGACCTAATTGTGGCTTTCAGTACCCTACAGGTAGGAAGCCTACAGGAAAAATGGAGAGACTTTTTACAAGGGCATGTAGTGATAGGACAAAGGGAAATGGCTTCAAATCGAGAGGGCAGGTTTAGATTAGATACTAGGAACAAACTCTTCACTGTGAGGGTGGTGAGGCAGTGGAACAGGTCATCCAGAGGATTTGTGGATGCCCCATTCTTTAAGTGTTCAAGACCGTGTTGGATGGGGCCCTGAGCACCCTGGTCTAGTGGAAGGTGCCACTACCCAGAGCAGGATAGTTGGAACTAGATGATCTTTAAGGTCCCTTCCAATCAAAACCATTCTATGATTCTACCTGTGTCTACTCAGTGAAACACAAAATGAAGGGTAAACCATTCAGGAGCTGAAGCTTGGGTCCCCTATCAGTGGTCTTACATCTAAAGCTTTATGCCATTTATGATGAGAATATTGTTTTAATGCTGAGAAGCTTTAAACTAAACCAAAAAGCAGTTTTAGCAGCAGAAATATTAACTATGAACACTAAATATATGAAACAGGAAGTATTTAACAGCATGGCCCAGCTACAGAAATATCTGCACATACCTACATCACAAAGCTTGTTCTACTACAGCAGAGCTTCCTCTAGAACAGCAGTACTACCAGAAAACAACGCATTTTGTTGAGAAATGAGAGTTTCATTTGAAACAATCAGAAGACAATAAGTATTGTTTATCTGCTTCTGTTACTGTTCCAAAGCATTCTGATGAGTGAAATGCCCAAGCCCTTTATACGGTTTCTTCCTCAGCAAGGAAACAACAGTCCAAGTCACAGCATTTTATCACTTTCTGTCACAGCGACATGCTCTTGTTGCACACCAAAAATGGCCTACAAGAAAAAATCTGCACGGGTAACAGTTTTTCACCAGGTAAGCACTCCCCAAACTTCTAAAATATTGCATTAACTGGTGCAAAACTAACTAATGAATAAACTCCTCTGTTATCTGGAATGTTCATTGTTGTTCAGTAACTGCTATGTGGCAAAGAAAACTTTTTTTTTTTCCTGCTGCTCTTGTCTTCTGACACTTTCAATGTCCCACAGCAGAATATATTTGATGGCATCACTGAAATGCAATATATCTTCATGTTCATCTGTTCTTCTGCTGAGGAGATATCAGAGGTTAAATACAGCTCTTCACAGGGAAAGAAATGTAGCATAAAAATCATGGTGCTAAGAACTAAATGAAATTACCACCTCCTGTTAGTTCAGGTGCTACTGCTGTACTTCTGCATTTCTCATTATCTCCTCAGTAATTTAAGAGTGAGATAAAAATTACAGATAATATTTTGGGCCTAGTAATGCCCTGTATAGGTTATAGAGAACTAACAGAATTAATGCACATCTTGCTTACAACAGTATGTGTCCCCCCCACTTAGGGGCTTCAAGAATAGTAGCTCCTTCCTTTTTGCACACAGAAGGCCCGAGAGGCATTGAAAGCAGTGCACAAGCACAAATTACAGTTTTCTGAGCAGCACGTGGCCAGCTGGTAATGTCACTTTTACAGGGATGTCACCCATCCACTAACTCCAGCTGTCACGCTGCATCTGCTGTGGGAGCTGGAAATGTTTAGTGAAGTCACCACACACTGACTCCTGCAATTCAGACTTTCAGCATTAAACTTCCACTGCAATGGGTAAGGGCATGAGCCAAGTTTGTTTCTTGCCTCTCTTATTCCTGGTAAGAAGGTAGAGGGATGAGAAGAGATTCTCACTAATAGGTTATTGCTCAGCTTTGGTTTTAAATGTTGAATTTTCAGTTATTCTTATGGAAAATTAGGAGAAACAGAAAAATCATTGTCCTCCTAGTCTGGAATTTCAGTTAATTTCTATGCCAGTAGCTAGTCCAGCTTCCACTGAGGAACTCTGTCACTAGGATTGCTCTGCCATGAATAAACAGAAGACATGAGCTTATTCAGAATTTTCTATTCATGGATAATATTATCTTGAGGACACACTATAGTTACCTTTAGGGGCACAAGAACTGAAAGGCTACTCCACATCACTATTCTGCAAGAGGAAGCTAAGAAAAGCCTGAGAAATTACTTTTTTGTCATGTTTTTTTTTCTCTTGGCATGCCATATCTGAAGGGAGAAGTAATTAACATAAGGGAAAATGAACAAAGTTGCCAAACCTGGCTCTTCAAACCAGTAGGACCTATCCATGTTCTGAGACGTGTGGACAGAGAGACAATTACATAAAAGTGGTCTACTAAAGATTTTCGAAGTAGAAGAACTTGGCAGAAAATTGTGTGGTTGTTTATTAGCCTAGCTTCTGAGTCCCTCCCTCGTCCCTCCTCCTAAATCCTACTCAGCTTGGAAAACCCCTTTCACAGAAGAGACTGTCAGGAAGTCTATAAGCAGATCTTTAGGCAATCCTGAGGGGCAACCTCAGGCTAAAAATAAAGAAATGACCTGGCAACATTGATCTTTGAAGGCTGCTGCTTTCTGTATTGAATCCAGTAGTACTGCTGCTCATGTTTCTGCCTTCCTACAGACAGATGGCAAAGCAGAGCCAAGTCAAGAATATCCTGATCAAGAAGCTTGAGGTGCCAGGGACAGGTATTTATCTCCAAACTCTGTCTTGAGTTTCTTTATTCTTACATACCCACAGGCCAGCTGCCCTCTTCCATCCCTAGACTACAGAGTGCAGCTCCCAGCTGAAAACAGTACATATATATATATACACATCTATCTATCTATCTATCTATCTATCTATCTATCTATCTATCTATCTATCTATCTATCTATCTATCTATCTATCTATCTCTTTTTTGCGGCTACAAAAATGTAAATTAACTCCAATGCAAAGGAATTCAAGAATCTCTCTCTGTAAAGAATGTGAAGACTCTCAGCTTTTAAAAACACTTCTGACCTTTTTCACATAAATCAACTCTAACACAAATGTACACTCATGGGACAAAAGGCAATTAAGGTTTTTTTACATCAGTTGTGAAGACTATTAGGAGAATTATGCAAAAAGTTCATTTACTTCTACATAAAAACAGATTTTTCTTCATGTAACATAAGCTTCTTACAGGGCTTTTTTGGAGGGCTTGGATCTTGGTGCAAAACATCAGTATCTATTTTTTTAAGGTAGTTTTGAAAAAGCAGATAGCTGGGCGGTTACATTGCCCAGCTTGTGAATTTTGCTTCACATACTGGAAACAGATGCCCAAAATACAAGAGTATCTTCAAAAAATAGTGTTTCTACTATAGAGAAAATACTTAACCTTGAAACTAGACTAACAGAAATTTCATTATGTTTTATACAGCAGGAATTGTTTGGCTCCAGGTCTATTTAATCAAAACCCCGAAGGTTTAAATCCCACTATATTACAAGAGCATTACTCGCTCAGACTTAATTACAGATTCCAGCTGGAGTATGACCCTGTCTGCCTCAAAAGCAGCAACTCATATAACAGGACAGCTTTACAACATCATTTTTTTGGCACCTGAATCCTGAACATGGCACAGCTGATTAAGATCAAATAAATGTTGACATGATGACCCTGTTACAGAAACACAATGCCCTCCCAATACTGACACCAGCATTCCACAAGGGATACTCTGGAACACTTTGTGAGTGGTGTCTCCAGCAAGCAGCTCCACCTTCAATACTACTGATTGCCACTCAAGAGAAATGTTTGTTTCCGAAGTCCCCAGATTATGGGTCACATGTCATGACACTGAGTCATTCAGGGAACTCAGCTTCAACAGAAGGCTTCATAAGGAAAAAGTGCTACTTTTAACCTGTGCCAGAAGTTTTGTGCTTGAGCAATTGGAGAACAAGGAAAAGCGCATTTAGGAACAGACCTAGAGATGACTGAGGTGGCTGTAACCAAGCACTTGCAATTCAATGCACTGACACGGTTCAGCTCTATTTCTCCAGTGTCTGAGAACCATGTTTCCACACACCCTATCTTGTAAAGCTCTCTATCAGAGGTGAAGCTCTGCCCTCTTGACAGTAACTATAAATTCAATCGAAGGCTACATGCAACAACTATGAATATAACAAATGGAGATGGGCACAGCTTTATGTGCTTTGTTTCTGCCACGTGAGGAAGCTGTTGAAAATTTCTAGATGACCAAAGAAAGCAGTTCATATACCTCTGGGAAAAGGTGGGTGCTGAACCTACACCATTTTTTTTGCAGCCTGGAAGGAAAAAAGAACCACCCCTAGCACAACTCCCTATTCTGATTGTTTAATTCAATGCTGTGATCAGAGCGCGAAAGTCTACAGAGTATCTTGTAAACTGCAATGCCCGTGAATCCCAAATAAACCCCAGATCACATACAGTTTTTTAGATGTGGTATTTCATATGAAAGCAGAAATAATACTTTATTTTCTCCAAAAATCAAATTAGCCATACATAATAAGGGCCTGGAGAAGATCTTCTTTCCTGGACTCCAGAGAAAATCAAAACAAGTCCAGATCATGAGGGAACTTACAGAGTGATTGTGGTACAGATTTATTTTTATTTTTCCTGCTTTTTAGAGCATTCCTCTTTCTTTTAAATACCACTCCTTCCTCTTCCTGCACCAAGACATTGTTTGCTTAGAGATAAAACTCCTGAACCCAGATTTAAAATACAGTCCTTAGGGTCTAAGTATGCATGTAATGGCAAGCATGATTCTGGAAGATTATATCAGTTCATCCAAAAATGAGAAACAGTGATGTTTTCTGGAGGGGCAATAGGACTAATAATAGTTGATAGAATACTTTTTTTTAATAAAACCAAACTCCAATTGCTTCAGGCATCAGAGATTAAGCAGTAGGCAAATACTCACATCTACCTTATAGCTCTACAGCCTAGATGGGAAAAATGGTAGTTCAAATGATGTGCCTGTGTCAAATCATATGGGAGTCTGAGTACAAGCTCTTGCTGTTTTGCAGACAAAACTAGGTTACAGATATATGCATATTCAGATTTTGCCTTGTTAGAGAATGTCCTATCAAAAGCATCAGAAAAAACCTGAACCTGAATAATCTGGAATAAAGGTGTGGCTTTGGGTTGGGGTTGGGCTTTTTTGTTTCGTGTTAGTTTACATTTTGTTCATTTATTTAAATCAGTGCCTTGTCTACCCTTCAGAAACAGTTAAAGAAATAATTTCACATGGGTTATTGGAGAGTATCTGTATAGCTTGACTGCGATTACAGTGAGAATCTAAGATTTCTTCGAGTTTTTGAGCCTCCAGTTCTCTCTTCTGTGCAGAAATAAATAGTAGAAGAGATTTTTGAAGTCTCTTTGGAAGGAGAGAGCAATTTAGCAACATCATTATTATAGACTGTAACATGTTTTTGAACAGAATGTAATATATGCTTTTTAATAATATTTGATGTAACTGGATTACTGTCTCTTCAGTTTTTCACTGAACATCTTCAATTTATATTCTTAAATAAACTACTGTGTAAATAAAATATACTCAGAGTTCTTGTATGTGAACAGTACTTACATTTAATTACAAATGATCTGGATATGTTTATAGGTGAAATACATTAAAATTGTTTACAGGAAATAAGCTCAACTAGCACTAATTTTGAAATCTAAATTTTCACAACAGTACTGAGAGTAGCTCAGCTATTTTTTTGAACATGCTTTTCAAAATGGAATTTGGAATGCAGTAGAAAAAAAAAAAATCAAAGAAATGCCAAAAAGAGGGAAGCACAGAAGATCAAAATTCCATAGCAGGTTGGATCAATAAAATATTAAACTGTAGTTCTTAAATGTAAGTACTACACCAAGTAGTAACGTGGCTGTTCTTAAATGTTAAAGCCCTTGTTTTCTAAAGGAGACAGTAATAAGCAATTTGCCTATTCAATCCACTCAAGATTTAGACACCGTGCTATAAAAGCAAACATATCTGACACTTCTTCTATAACTTTAGCAGTTGGCTTTCCTGCTCCATGCCCAGCCTTGGTGTCAACATGGATGAGAAGTGGATTGGTTTGTTTACTGCTTCGGCCCACAATGTACTGCAGGGTAGCGATGAACTTCAGCGAATGCAGAGGGACCACACGGTCATCATGGTCTGCTGTGAGAAGCAGTGTGGAGGGATACTGGATGCCATCTTCTTCTGGTAGTTTGACATTGTGAAGTGGAGAGTACCTGAGAAAAACACACAAATGTTTCCGTATCTTTTTCCTCAAGACTCAACAAGAAGGTCCTTTCCTACTGAAACCATCACAGTGGCACTTGTTAGCACTCAGAATAAAACAGTTCCCAGTTACATTAATCAGAATTGCACTAATGGCAACTGACACACAGTAGTGGCCACAGACCTCTGGCTCTGAAATGTGAAGCAAGTTCATTTTTGTATTTTCAAGAGAGATGTATGTATACAGCTCATAGGAATGTCCAAAATATCAGGAGTAGCCAGCAGGGAAACTGCAGTAAAACCTGTGAAGTCCATAGCAGGATCCATCCTGATTGAAACAGGGAAATTGTGACTCTCAACAGAAGTTAAGAAATTAATTAAGATCTTATTATGGTTTGAGTGCCATTGAATTCCTACAAATAAATCCCACCCACATTGTTTAACACAATTCACAATGGTGACTGTCTCTCCCTCACAGTAAAAAATACAATTCATGTAGTGGTCCACTTGAGAATATTCTGTTGTAATCGCCTAAAAGAGTCACTATGCAGAAAGAAAACCTTATGAACTGTTAAAAGCTGCTAGAAGAACAAGGTCTTTGAAAATATGAGCACTTGATTCAACAAGGCTTTGAAGGTAGTCTTTGATTCAAAACTGACTTGCAAGGAAATGCTGAACTCCCCAAATTCAGTGTGGGAAAGGATGAAGTAATCATTAGAATAGCTATTGATCATGACAACCAGAAAGTGTTGAGCAGACTACGTGTTTTAACAACCACAGAAAGTATTTGAAGGCACTTACTTGTGCAGCCACTCAAACTGCTCTTTACAGTCGGAGCAACCATAGTCAGTGGTCCAAGCATGGCCGATGGTGTACTTGTGGAATTTGAGCATGTCCATCACTCCCACTTGGGCAATAGCACAGCCAAACAGGTCAGGGCGCTGATTAGCACAGGCAGCTTCAGCAGGAAAAAAATTCCTTTAGTATTCAGATCTTAAAGAATTAAGTTCAACAGTAAAAGGTTCACTACCAAGTCGTACTGGGAGCAGGCTGTCAGTAAATAGGAAGTTAAAGACACTTTCAAGCAAAACTGTAAGCAGGTACACAAATGGATAAAAAACCTAACTCTGAAAGATGGTATGTTAAAATGAACTTAAGAGACATTCCTCTGCTTTTCAGACACCAAACATGTAGTTCTATGAAAACTGCCTTTCAAACCACTGACGGAGAAATGAACTTTTAAAGCATGTGAAATTTTGAACTACTGAAATGAAGGTACCTAAGCCATTCACTGTTCAAACTTTTAATATTAGTCTCAAGAAAGAAAAGTGCATTAAGGATTAAAAACCCTCCCATTTACTGATGGAAGTTGTCTTCCATAATTACTATGTAAACCTGTAAGAAAAGAGTTTTGATAAAAGCAGACTGTTACAAAATCAGTTGAATAACCTCAAATTAACAAAGTGAATTGCTGCTGTATTTTCTTCTTTTACTATTTTTATCTTCCTACAAGAAGATTGTCTTGGAAGGGACAATATCATTAAGAATAATGCTTGCCTCATATATTTTAGAAACAAGTGCAGTAGCCCATCAAGCTCAGTGTTCAATGTATAAGAATGGCAACTGGGAGATCTCTCCTGTAAATTATTATCTGATGAACTAGTTATTTCAGTTTTCTCTGAGTAAGAGTTATCTCCAGCCATCCTATAAAAAAGCCATCAAAACACACATCCCCTGTAAATACAGCTGTTTCCTCTCTTAATGTTTATTCATCCAGTGTTCATCATATCCTGTATTAGTAAGTTCTTCAATTCCAATTACTGTTTCTTGATTTAAACCTTTTCCCTGGTGATTTTACAAATTCCTTTTTTTTAATTTTAAGAAATAAGAGCACTGACATTTTCATGTAACTACTACAATGGATCCCAGAATCCCTTAATTAATTCAGAACTATTCACTGTGCATCTACATATAAGTATAATCTTTCCCAACTTATTCTTATCTCCTCATTTCTGTCCATTGTAAAAATGGATTGATTATCGCCACTTTTTGCCTCCTGCTAACCCTGATAATTGCTATGACATGACTTGGTTTCCAGCTCAGCAAGGACTTTCTTTCGCAGCCTTATGTGAAGAAGCTTTTGAAAATCCAAAAAGAGCTCCTCACCTAGATCACTGTTACAAGCCCCATATGCAGCCCGACTCCTTCAGATATCTCTTACATTTGAAAGCTGCAACTTCAACCTGCAGAATTCTTTCTTTTATGTCAGCTATTATTTATTAGTTTCAACTGGCTTGCCTGTTAGGGAAGTCAGATTTACTCATCTGCAGCTTGTGGATCACCATGAACCATTTAAAACTTGGCATTATACACTTGCCCCCTTCTGTTCCTCAGATATTCAGGCTTAGTAGCCTGTAATTTCATATCAGAGTTCACGTAGGATCCTGCATGTGCACCATCTGGTCCTGGCAACACACTACTTTTCATTGGATTGATTCACTCCAAAACTTCCCCTGCTGATGCTTCAACTGGAGTCAGATCCCGAGAATATTCCCCATGACAGACTGGTGCAGGGAACTCCCCCCCCCAACTCCTTAGGAGGGAACATCAATACAAATAGACCATTTAGTTGCTCTGCTTTGCCATTATTTTTCTTTAATGCTCCTTTTACATCTCACTAATCTGCAAGTCCCACAGATCATCTGGTCAGCTTCCTGCCCCTGATGTGCATAGAAAAATGTCATTGCTAATCTTAATATTGGAAGCAATTTGCTCATCACTCTCCTGTGATCTGTCTGTCTCTGCCAAGAGTTTACAATATACCCATTTTCTTAATTTAAATATGATTTTTACTTTCTGCAAAATGAAATTTTGCTTCTGGTCATCTCTGATATGTAATTATGTGAACTCTTCCTTATTTATGAGTAATTTCCATAAGGTATATATAGAGCCTTAAAGAGATGCTATGCAAAAGATCTTAAGGTTTTAACAGAAGCTTTTGATCAGATCCCTCTCCTTCAAGCTATTTTTTTTTTATGAACATAGATTGTATTGTGGTAGGAACAAAAGCTAAAACAACTACCATAACATTTTATTTTAATACTCTATTTCAGAGGTCTTTTGGAGCACTGTCTGTTGCTCAGGATTTTGGAAGAAATTGCTCCTTGCTAGTTCCTTAAGTAGTTCAGTAAGAAATCACCTATGGAGACACTCATCCGTGCACATCGTACCTTTTAAGTTACCCACAATACTTAGTTATATGCATTAATAAAGCGTAAATTGGAACAACAATTTATTTATGAATTTTATTCTTCTAAACATAACATTTAGCTTTAAAATTCAGTACAAACATAAGCCTTCAAAACGTCGGAACTGGCTTTGTCTAGGCAAACACAAGGTCAAACACTGCATTTGCAGGAAGGTTTTCAGCTCACAGCTGTGCTGCTCTGCTCAGCTTGGGGATCACAGTGCAGGACAAGGAAGTCTTGTTTTGTGGCTGAATGAGACAAGACAAGCTCAGGGCTCTGCAGTCCTCAGAATCACCTCCTGTTAGTCTGACTAAAAGGAAACAGTATTCTGGAAGAGTGACAATACTCTTCCTTGTCAGCTTTTTCTTTAATAAATAAGAACAAAGAAAATCTGGCAGTGGGTCCTTGAACTTACAAAATGACTTATGATCTCTAATGTTGCATCAACAACTATTGCAAAATTTATTCTTGCTTTGATAAAAAAGACCTTACAAGAACTTCCTGAATTCACCTAACTACTCAGTCAAGGAAAATCCCTATCTGGCTCATCAAGAGCATGGAAATCCTGCTGGACTGTACCAGTAAATTCCAGGGAAGGGTTCTAACAAGATTTTTTACAGCATGGAGGTCTAACACCTCTCTCCTACCAGAATGATGTAGTTCCTGTAGCTATCACTTGCTTCCCCTTATTGACACAAGGAGCCCAGCTGAACAGTTCAGCCAGTAAACCAGGGAGTTTTATTACTGAAGCTGGGTAGGATGAGCCTCATCCTGACTGAAGCTGAAGTCCACAAAACAATAAAACAGTATTTTCAGAAGCTATGTACCATATTCAAAGTTTGCCTGCAATTTTTTAAAGTTTTTCCAACTGTATATTTAGGTTCACATAAAACCGACTTGTAAAATGCTTGCATTCCCAAATGGAGTACAAACCCTATAATCCTTTATCATATTCACCCATTTCTATTTTCAATGCATAAACACTTTCTGCCACTGGTTACTGAGAAGCATATTAGCAAAAACCAAAATACAGCTTTACAAGTACTTGTTGATCTTTGAAACAATTGCTTTTTAAAAATAATAATGCAGGTCTAGCCAAGATGGCTTAGACCAAAGATCTGTATAATTCCAAATCCTGTTTCTTATGCTGGATGCTAATTCACTGAAAAACAGAATAATATCAATAGAGTCAGTATGCAGCAGCAGCTAAATAAAAAAAGAAGAGCAAGCAGAATGGGCCTAGTAAAACTGCTCATTTTCTATTAACTCAGTGGTCTATGAGCTTGAGGTGCCTTTTTTACCCCCTTCTCACATAAGTAGCTCAAATCTGTCATACTGTCACCTTTCATGCTGCTTAAAAAAAGGCAAACAGACCTTGATACTATTACTTTGTGTCTCCTTTTCCTTTCCAAATTGCACAAAAAAATCACCTTCTTTTTTCTTCTGTTACTTTCAGATGCTTTCAGATAGGGATCTTATCAGAAATATATTTTGTAGCTCTTAGACTGTTCAGAATACAAGATCTTTCTGTGGCAACACCTCTGTTTAAGAGGAGGCTATGAATTTCCTTGAATTTAAGGACACAGCAGTGAATTTAAAGTGAACAAGATGCATTTGTAACAGACCACACACATTTTTCCAATGCTACATAAATTAATAGTTCAGTAATTATTTTGTAATGGTTAACCTGAAGAAAGAAAAATAAGTAAAAAAAAAATGTTTTTTAAAGCATTCATACTATCTGTGTGATTTTACCACTGGGTTAGCTATTACATGAGACTGTGTGGCTTTTAACAGTCAGCCTTTGCCAAAGAGACTGAAGAATTCCAATGTCCTTGGAAAAAAAGTAAAATTTGCAAAAAGCAAATGAAGTACTACTGCACATATTTAACACCTGGTATACATTAATACATTGACATTCTGGTGACGTTTGACAGGCAAATCTCAACAATTTTTGCCTGGTTACTTTAATAAGCCCAACACCAAATCTGGGAAATAGACAAGCAGTTCTTACCAACTAAGAGGCCCCCATTTGATCCTCCATTAATAGTCAGCTTCTTTGGGGATGTGTAGCCTTCCTTGATGAGGTATTTGGCAGCACACTGAAAGTCATCAAAGCAATTTTGTTTGTTGGCCAAGATACCACCTAGCACGGAAACAAAACAAATCAGCCGATACCATAAAATCCCTTTGATACCATCTCTTCAGAAAAACATATGTGCAAAAATACCTGGGAACAATTCCAGTTTCATGAATATTTTAATAATTGATGCAGCTCAGAAAAACAGCAAAAATGAGAGATTCTATCAACACAGAGAGGCTATAAGATGGTTCTGTCAATAACTCTGATGCTTTCAGAAACTCTGAATAATACATACCTATACTGTGGAGGCAGTGCCAGGTAATGTTCCTAACCAGTGAAAGGAAAGCTAAAAGCTTTGCACAGCAAAATATATACAAATGACCACATAAAAACCACTTGAGGTTTGAGCTAATGGGACGTTAACATCATTAAACTCAGTGACAGTTTCTTAAGGCAATAAACAAGCTATGTAAAATAAGCATTTCTAATTTCCTGGATATATACTCTGTGGCTGGTAATTTACTTTTTTTCCTATTAGTTGTTTTCAAACCAGATGATATAAAACTATGGTTAAAAAGGGACTTCAGAGTTGCATCTTGCACTGAAATTTTATTAATTAATTTTCAATAGGGAAATGTTTAAGATACTGCTGTCATGTTGAATGAAATTCCATATGTCATCAGATGTATAAGGGAATAAGTAATGACAGAAAATGTTGGTTCAAATGACATCATTGATAAGACTTCCAGGTCTGAAAAAAATTTTTTTTGCAGGGTGGGATAGGGAAGGAAAAGGATGGTTTTCCCTACAATCTTTCAATTCTTTTAGTAGAAGAGTATCAGCTTAGAGAATTCACAATTCTAAATCTTGCTTGCTTGGCAAGAGACTAAAATTAGATTCTCCTCAAAGGTTATCCTACCTAAAGACCATGTTAATCTCAGGCAATTAAATGCTAGTAAGAAATGGGAACTAGGAAGAAAATCCTTGCATTCTTGTAGCAAAGGCAGTGGCCCAGCCAGGCAAGCGGGGCTTAAAGGATGCAGAAAGAGAAGTCCAGTTTCTTCTACTTTCTTTAAAACCTGGATGTTTATTCCAAGCTGATTGCCTAAGGTTCCCCCTATGGTCTAGGAACCTCTAGGACAATTAATTTTACCCTAAATTAAGTTTTTAATACACATAATTCTTGTATTAATAAGAGCATTGAAGAGAGACATACTGGGACAACAAAGAAGTCTTCAAGTATGTGGGAATAAAGTGGAAATAAATCTTTCTCCTTGCTCAAAACACCAGGCTGGTGTAAGGTCAGAATCCTATTTATAAAATTAAACCTAGGTGAAAAAAAACTTCTGGAATTGCTTCTGGAATTAAAAAAGAACAGATACATATTTTATTTCAAACTGCAGTAAAAGACTTGGGTCAAAATCAAGCAGGAAATAGGAGGATCAAAGAAGCATTATCATATTACAATAAATTTTATTAAAATATACTACAAATCAATCTGGAAATTAAAATTAATGAAGGATACTTCATCTTTAGCAATAATATCCTGTATCTGCAAGCACATACAGCTTCTATTTATGAAACTATTACATAATTAACTCAATTGTGAGGAAATGACCCAGACAAATAGTTGCCACAGATGAAACAGTAAAATCAAGATGCAATGATCTGGAAATACCATTTTGTCTGATAAAAAGATATTATGGATTACTGCCATAGCAAATTGCTAGATCATAAGCCTCACTGTTGTGGTACATTTGCCTTGCTGACAACATTTCCAGCAACTTATGCACCAGATTCTTGGAATATGAGTAAAATGTCACCATTAAATAAGGACAGGTATGTTGCTAAGATAAGAAGGACCTTTTCAAACATTTTCCCCTGGTGGAGGAATGTGGAGAGTTGTCAACAATAAGGCAAGTGGACAAAGACAATTAAATGATGAAGACAAGGACTTGAAGGGAAAAACATGGACCGAAGTACATCAAAAGTGTTAAGAAAAGGGGAAAAGGGATTGACAGAGCTTTTATTGGCTACCTGCAATAATGAAAGAGGTACGTGAAAGCCAGGCCTTTTGCAATAGACAGACATTTTTTGTAAGATCAGCTCAAGACAAATAGCTGCATTTTCCAGTGTTTAAGTCCAGGGTACTTGACCTTGCTTAAAAAACCACAATTTTCCTTGGAAACCAAATTTTCCTTGGAAAATACTGTCTTTGTTCAAAACTGTTTTTAAGTAGGTTGCAAAAATGCAAATAATCTAATAAAAACCATCAGATTAACACTGGACAACATACAGATCTAACATGTAAGTAAGGAAAAAGATCTACTTTTTTGCAGAACAAGTAAAATGCAAAAGGAGATGTGAGCTTGGAAGAGGGAGTGAAAAGAAAATGTTGTAATTTTCATTGCTAAGCTTGCAGTTTTGTTCCTGTGCTTTGACTGACTTACCTTTATGCCAGGTCTCTCCATATTCGCCCCCACCCCTGATGTTTGCCACTGCTAGAACACCTCCCAGGTGTCGCACAAAGATAAGTCTTGACACACTGAAAAAGCAAACAGGTAACAGGATTTTTATTTCCCACTTTTTATACACCTACCACTTCCACAAAAATACTTCTGAGGGAAAGATTTCTCCCAAAATCAATGATGAAACTGTGAATTAAGTCCCTCTTGATGGTGAACCTGAGTAGTTAAATTTTTTAATAGTTATCCATGGAAATGAAGCTCCCAGCAGCTTTAGGAAAGGAAGGAACCTGTGCTGTGTTCCTCCTCCGTTAGTTCTGCTTTGCAAAGGAGAGCGGCCAGTGGTTTGGCCTAACAGATGACCACTCAGAATCTGTCACCATTTACGAAAAATATCTTCAAAGCAGACTAGAATTATGCAGTACCACTGGACCTCCACAGCTTTCTGAATTGTTCCTCTTTCATGGGACTTCCACTTCTTCAGAGAGGAAAGGAAGAAATCAAAGAATTAAGACTTAAGATCAGCACTTGATCTTTGCTTACGAGAGGTATTTTCAACCTAACTTCTGCTTAATATACTTCTTTTGGACCTTTGCAATACTGTGTTTCCAAAGAAAAATTCTGTATCTACTTCTGTGAAATGGTCAGCAGTCAAATCAGCAGCTGGCCAACTGCATTCTCATCCATTTTTCTCTCACACTGCTAAATACAAAACAAATAGTGTAACATGAAATTATAGTTTCTGCCTCCCCTACTATCTCCTGAACCGGTCTGAAAGCTAAAATAGCATATTTTTTTAAATGCCAAATTGCAGAAGTATTGAAGATATTACTATCATTAAAATTAATGGAAGTAATTAAAATTATATTTAACAAATAAAAAATGTTAATGGTTGATCTGTTGAGGCAGATCAATCTGCAGATCTGCACATAGCAGAAGCTGCAGAAGGCCAACCATACATATGCTAAGGAGACAAGTAAAATGTTAAAATTTAAGCTCAACAAGTCTTTTTTTTCCCAACTCTACTAGGTTTCAATTTCTTATTTACCTGAATTCTTTGCTCACCCAGAAACCACTGTCTGCACAAAACGAATTTGTTCAACCACAAGGGTGGGTACTGGGGTTGATCAGACCATAGAGATCAACCCAAAACCATGGGAGTCTGCTCTGTAGGCCGACGTTAGCTTAGGGTGAGCAGTGCCCTGCCAGCATTGCTCCCTGACAAAGTGGCATGTAAATGGTTCTGTTCACAGAAGGTTGTAGTTCTAGAAGGTTCCCCAGGTCTTCTTTGATTGGTTGTCCTTTGGTGCGTATTTTGCATATTCCTAATCTCCATTTCCTATCGGACCCTCACCCTCAGGTTCCACCCTTTACCCTGCCCTATAAATACAGCCTACCTACCCCATTTTGGGGTCTTTGGAGCTTGTCCTACCTTGTGGTTCAGCTTTTACTGTTTGTTATTTTTGTCATTAAACCCTTTTGCTTTTTGGACTATTCCACATCAGAAATGGCTTGAAAATGGCTTGAAAACTGGTAGTCCTACAGTGTGTCTGATGTGGATGTAGTGTCACAGCAGGTGAAGTTTTCATACCTCTCAAAGCAATTACCTATGTACTGGCACATGTTCTTGAGCATATATATCAAGGAGTAAGGAAATGAAAAGCACAAGGATAACTGATAAGAGACTTCTTTATTTTCATAACCATCAAAGGAAAACCTTCTACCTAGGATGGTTATCCAGTCCCATAGATGGCTCAGGAGGCATGAATTATCTCAGCTTCTGTAAAATCAAGTCTCAAAACCATCACTGTGAATTGCATTTTCCTTAGAGTGCTGTGACATGCTGATCAAATGCAAGACTGATATTCTATAAGCACATTGTGCAAAGGTCAGAGAGCGTTACTCTGCCAAACTCCAGGACTCTTTTAATTTCAACAGGTTGCTACACAGCTGATGTGGAGTAACCTGACAACAGGTTGCCTCATGGGACTGCGGCTTCTTAATTTTTGGTATGTAGAATCACAAAACCTCCAAAATATTCTTCACTTCTTTTCCCTGTCTGCCTCAAACTTTGGACCTCTTGGTCCAAAGTTACTTGATTCCCTAATAATCAGAAATAGCAAGTAAGAACTAAAGGTATGTTTGCTTCCCAAACATATTGCCTTAAAATACTTTAAAAAAATAAAATACTCCACAAGAGAGTCCGTCCTCTTCCATCTGCTGAAAGAAACTGTGCCTGTCTGAAGGCTCACTGTGAGTCAGGACCCAAACTTAACCAATACTTGGAGGTCCAAGCTTGTAAAAAACGTTCTCAAAGTTTTTCTCTCGAACTTTACTTTTAAGTTCAAGGAAGCAGGTTTTATAAGTATAGAATCCAGATTTATTACTTTTTTATAAAGTGAAAATTCCAAGTAATCAGACAGCACGAAGCTCAAGTTTCACATACAGCCCTACTACTGCCTCCTGTGCTTTTCCAGGTGGATTCTTGCTTCCAGATTTGATTTCAAGTCAGCTTGAGCCACAGCAAACTGCCCAGTCAACCTTCATGGCTATGAAATGTCTCATTCTGCAAGGCAAAGTCTGGCTCCCTGCTCCTGCTAACAGTCTCTGTAGCCTTTTGCTCATTATCCGCTCTTCCTTCTCTCCTGGAAGCAGGGTAAAGGAAAGGGCAGCAGGGTCAGGACAGAGTCAGTGGAGGGATCAGAAGATAGTCCCTGCCCTGGAGAGCTCCTTCCAGACCCTCTAATCACTCTTAAGGAGCATAAAACAAGAAATAATACATCAGATATTGATTTTACAGTAGAGAACAATGTGAGGAGCTGTGCTTCACAGAGCAAGAACACTTCTGTAGAATTGTTGATCTGCTGTCAAATATTAGAATTGACACTAAAATTCAGGCTAGTGCACAGGTGACAGTGAAGAAGTCCTGAGCTACTAGATTCGGTTCCTTTTTCAGCATTGTGGAGCTGAAGAGAGCAGTAACAGAATAAGGAGTAATCATCCATTCTGCACTGAGGGCTGCTCTGTTGCCTGACCTCTCTCCAGCCTGACAGTCTCTCTTCCCTGCGCCACCTCTTTGCTTAAAGGCTGGGAACAACCTGGCAGTGAAATGCAATTTCACAGTCTGCTGCACAACCAGCTGTATTCCAAGATGAGTTAGAAATTGCTTCTCCTGTACCCACGCAGGCACACACAGAACAGTGAAGGGAAACATGTTGGTTCCTACAGCAGAGTTAGCCAAATCTGAGGCATTAGTGGTGGGTTTCTGATGGCATTTCCTCAGCAGCTCTGCCAAGCCACTGGTATCAGTTCCATCAGCCTTCACTTGCTATGTGGGCTGTATAATTAATGACAGTGCTCTAGCAAGCACCATCTCAAAATGCCACCAAATGCAGCTCTCCAGTCCAGAGAAGAATATGAAAGATGCATGCTTGCATTCAAAAATAAACCAATGCTGTAACTGACTGAATGACTTTGACCTATAATTCTTACAGTTATTTTTGGATCCTGTAACCTGTTGGTTTGTTTCTATTGCTTTCAGTGATTTTTTTTTTTTCATTTTTTATGTGAAAAGGAACACCAGTTTGTGAATTAAGCAGAAATAAGCTCCCCAAACCAGAGAGCTGGCTCATGATAATTGGTGTGAAACACCAATAAGAAAATACTGTACAGGCTGGAAGACATACAGGACAGAATTGAACCACTGGAAAGGAGAAGATGGAACACTTTGTGGAAAGTTTTAAAAAACCTTAAGCTTAAATAAAAAAGCCCAGGAGTATTTAGCCAGGATTTTTTTTTTTGTTTTTTTTTTAAAGGTAAGCTGGCTACTACTTGGTTACATTTCCATGGCTACATCTTAGCTCAGGGTAGGGCGAGTGAGGCATGAGGCAAGCCTCAGCCTTGGCCATCCTGTGGCTGCTTTCTAGCACTCATGCCTGTGGTCATAAAAACCATATGGAACAGCACTTGGACACGGGAACTCCTTGTGGAGAATTGCAGTATCTAGTAACAGGGATGGAGTAAAACATTTGTGGAATCTGCAAGGTAAAGGGTGAACTGGACATCCCGCTATTCTGGCATAAATTCTCTCTTACAATTTCCCTGATTTTGCCTGCCTACTTTTGGAACACATTCCCTCGCCAAGTACTCAATTCTCAAGTTATTAGTCATAAACATGTATTTGAAGGCTTTGGCTTTTCTTTCTCTTAGAAAGAGAAAGCTGAGAAATCGTATCTTGATATTAAAGGGAGAGAGTAAGTGTGGCCAATCTTGTTTTATTCACATTGTCAGTGGGATAATACCTTTTGATTTGGAGGTCATTGGTAGTTCTCTCTGCATTTATTTTTAAGGGACTGTTACAGATTCATATTCTTAATTTGTGAACTGTATAAAGAAGGTTTCATAGGGTTCAGGAAAATATAGGTCACTGCTCCTACCTCCCATCTTCCTCTCTTCTAAATGTCAGCTGCACCCTCTTGCTGCTGTTTGCTGGACTCCTACGAGAATCAATTTTTAGCTCGCCAAAATGGCAGAAAACCACCCACTCTGTTTCGCTGGGATAGTTTTCTGTCATTCTTGCGAGGTAAATCAGCTTAGCAAAGGCTCCAGCAAGCACCAGGGCTAATGGATGGGAGGTGGAAGTAGGCACTGTGAAATAACTTCTCCTTTTGCCAGCAACCAGTTCATGTCAGCTCCGCAGAATGTGAAATTTTACCTTAAACCAATAGATATGTAATACTTATTTTACATTCTTTTAAAACAAAAACATGGTAAGTTTTATCACAGTTTTCAGCATCTACAATAAACTGTAATAAATCAGTAGTTGAACCTAAGTAAAAAAGAATTTTAAAACTATGCTAGTTATATAATTGTGTCTCTCAAGAACCACAGGAAATTAAAAGTGTAGCTTTATGAGGCAGATAAAAAGCTTACAAATAATAAACAGAACACAAGATGGGAGGTCCACTGTTAGACAAGGTATTTGCTAAAAATCACAAGGAACTGTAAATGCTATTCAGAAATACAATCACAGCAAATATGAAAGGCAAGCACTGCAAAAGATTTCTTTAAATGTGCTAACTCTAAAGCAAGACTGCTTTAGGTAGCACCTAAACTTAAAAGGATTGTTTCATAATAGATTATTTTTCTATGATGAGCTGCTCTTCTGCTTCCTGAAAATCTGTTCTCTATTCAGCCCATTCCATTTCAGTTTTCCCCTGCCTCACCTAGGAGCATTTCTTAGCTATTCAAGCACTGCCTCTTGGCAAGTCTATTCAAATTGCCTTGCTTAAGAAATATTTTCTTTAAAGAGATCGTCTATGCAATAAAGCTTACAGCTTTTGAGAGCTACAAAGCCTGTTCCGAACACAGAATTTTTGATTTACAACATGTTGCTTTGCATTTGTGAACACAGTATCATTAGTGTTTCAAGATCCTCTTTCCTGATCATATGGGACACAGAAGGATTTTGTTTCCAATATAATCTCAAAAGTATAATATGAAAATGCAGCCAAATTTTTATTATTTATATGAATTTAGCTAAACATTTGATTTTCTATAATATTTAGACATAGGTAACTGTTTAACTTGGAAAAAAGAGAACTTCCTATGTTATTAGTTCAGCAAAGGGCTCAAATATTTCCTTAATATATGTGTCCACATTTTTCTGTTGAACTCAGTGACAGAGCAAGAAGAGGTTAAGGTGTAATCCTAAGGGCAGAGTGACTGTTGTAAACCTCAGGAGAGCAGAGCACTTCTCTGCTCTGACATAATTTCTTCTGTGAGCCTGGGTAAAATCCTTGAATTCAGAACTAACAGAGCAGACAAATGATGCCTGGGCAGCCCTTCTGGCCTCCATCTTGCTTCTTAGGAACCTGAAATGCATCCTGTCAGATTCATGGTGCACCCTGCCCACAGTCTGTGACAGCTGTTAATGCCAGATACTTTAAAAGAAGGTGTGAATCACCCTACTTACCTGTAGCTTGGTGTAATTGATATGTTGAAGCCTCCATATCCATACAAGAAGGCGGGATGAGAACCATCTAATTTAATTCCTTTCTTGTGAATAATAAACATTGGGATCTTAGTGCCATCTTTGCTAGGTGTAACTCTCCACAAGTGCTGTTAACAATAACCAGAGGTGATCACTTGTATGGTGTCTGATGGGTAAAACCTTCCGAGCAACTTACACCAATTGCCAGGTCAGGCTCAGTAAATGGGTACCACCTGCTTGGTTGCTTAGCAGCTCTGGACAATGTATCAAAATGAGAGAATACAAAGGGTATGATAGTATCACCTTTAGGTATCTTATCCATCAATTCTACACACAAAACCGTCTATGAAAATATTACGGTCTGTATCCAGCAAAAGGGGACAGTCTCAAAGGGGACAGGTAAGCACTGCTCAGTCTTTCAGATTCTCTCTGGGACACTTCAACCTTGTCAGGGTGGTAACACAAGCCACGACAGAAACTTTTGTAGCACTTTGGTGTATTTTTCGGACATTACTAAACAGCTAGAACCAGGAGACCCAACCTTGCAGAATCCCCAGTCTGTCAAGACAGCTGAACTGACCACTGGCTTTATTCCTGAAAGGAAACCAGCTCCCCAGACACCAAGTATCCACACAGCACATGCTTTCACATGTCCTTCTATTGCTGCCACAACATTGTGTGAAGTTAAAAACTGAACTCCATGTACACAAAGACTATAATTGCTTAACACAGTTCCTACATCTTCTTGTTTTGATGCATGTCTCTGCCTGCATACTCTAATTTGGGATCCACTGTGTCATGTTTTGCCAATCAAGCAAAACACATGGCTGTGAATGCAGTTTGTTCCTTGTCCTAAAATTCTGGCTGATTCCTTTTCACTGCCTTGCTTTAACATCATTGCAGCTTCTACTCTAATTAGAACAAAAATGTAGTAAATGAAGAATGACACATTCTTATAACTGAGTTGCATGTCTACAATCTCTGCTTTAAAAGGAGATAGTCCTACCATGATTGGTAAAGCACATGATCAACAGGGTCTATTTTTACACATGAACCTCATCAGTAACATGAACCTATGCAACACATTTATTCTGAGCATTGCCTGTAATGTGAAACATGTAAATCCACATGGCACACTGAAAACAAACTAATCACATTTAATTTTACTTTAATCATTGCTAAGGAAATGTGAGGAATTTCAAATGAAATCATATCTACCTCCAAAGGCTTTACCAAAACCTCTAGACATATTACAGATAAAAATTCAGTATTTCACAGTACCCGGTAGATGAAAAAAAAAAAGAAAAAAGAAAAAAGTCTAAAGGTGTTTTTACATAGATGAAATCAGTTTCCAACTGCTGCCAAAACTGTATCTTAAGTGACAAAGTTCTTGCCAGAATGGTAGAGTATTGAAAAAGGATTTTTACACTAAATAGTCACTTGAACACTACAAACGAATAAAATAAGTGATGAACAGGAGAACTGCTGAGTCTGATGATGAGGAGTTGCAGAGACTCTTCCCTAAAACGCCATCCGTCAACTCCAGCTGTTGCTGGCAATTTGCAGGAAGCAAGCATCTGGCCTTTCTACACTTCTAGAAACTTAACTGCCATTGACCAGTCCTTTCCTGATTATTAAAGTATGACACTAATTTTACTGCTGGTTTCTGAATGAGGACCTTACCTTTTATATAACCACTCCCTGAAAACTGACTTCTGTAGGGCTTTTATTGTCATCAGTTAAGATAAAATAACATACCATTAAATGAAATCTCAACAAAAAAAAAAAGATTCATGTCAAGCTGACATTTGCAATTTAAGGGTTTTCAGTCCTATCTTTGCTAAAATAATTATTACCTCTCCCTCCAAGATGAACACACGAGGGAAGGGGGTGGAAATCAATTCAGTGAGACACTAAGATATGTGAAGCTATTTAAGCTTCTCCAAATAGACTATTTTCAACAACTGATTCAATCTCACCTTTAAATTAGCTGTTATCTCTGAAGCAAGTTGAATGGTTTATTCATGTAACCAATAAAGGGACGAGCTTCTATCGCAAAGATTAAGGTAAACTGCAAAGGGCAAGCCCTAAAAAGGATTTCCCAAGATGGTGTTCCATGCCTAACTTTAGATGCTGTCAGCTTTTACAGTGGTAAATGCTCATAAAAGGGTACTACCTTTTCCTGCTTATCACAGATAGGAGAGATCCACTTGTGCCAGTCACACAGTACTACTCATTGTTCATATATTTTCCAATAAGGTCTTAAGTCACTAAAGTCAGCATATGTAAGAAGAGGACAAGTTAGGAAAATGAATTTGAAAAGAATGGAGAAAACCACTTCAGGAGTATTATTATGAATGCTGAAACTCACCATTCAAGGAGGGACATGCTAAAAAATAAGTATCTTCAGCCTTTAGGAATGCAACAGCAATGTTGCATGGTTGACAGGGCACTCCTGCAGTGTGCAACCCTTGGTGCTATTCTAGGACCATAATGTTGGAGCAGTAGAGCAGCCCTGGAATAGCTGTACCTGTTAGTCTCACACTAATGTCCTTGTGTCACACGGCAGTGGGGGCTCAGTGCCAGAATCACTTTCTATTCAGAAGGCAGAGCCTGAGGGATACATTTATAGCCTCTAGTCTACTTATTGTGATGGAAGGAGAAAGCAAGACAGCTGCTCATTGCTACAAATTACATGAAAATTAAGCTATATAAGCGAAACAGAGCCCAATCTTCATCATTCTTCTTTAGTGCATACATATATATTTGTAGAGTGGTGTGTTACCTTCTTTTGATTTTTAAACTTAGCATTTGAAAGCAATTTACACTCCATTTTCACTAGAGAAAGTCAATGGATGTTTATGTCAAAGACGGTTTACAGAGTAAGTTTTACAAGCATATACAGTTAATAGCTCTGTGATCTGGCTTGTAAATTTACTTAGCGGTTAACCAGGATAAAAAAGTTCAATACATTCATTCCTGAGGAGGTCTTTGTTCTCCTAATTATCATTTGCTTTAAATGTGCAGTATTTATGTGAGGTGAATCTTCACTTAGGAAAGAGGGGAACTATCAGCTAGCTTCTCAGACCTAAATTCAGAAAGGCTCTGTATTTATCCACCTCTGTGTCTGCAATGGCAAGAAGTATCCTCTCCATCTCTAGTCACTAGGAGGCAAAACTAAGTATTTTAGAAAACCAGAAGGTTTGAAAAACAGAGGCTGCAGATGAAGTTTTCCTTTCATTTAGCTACAAAGGTAGCCAAACCTTGATACTTACACAGAGAACTGAAAGTAATTTTGGCAATCATCCAATATGCACTTCTCTTGCAAGTACATATGAAATCAGTATCTTTGAATATTAAAGAAAGTGACACAATCATCCCAATAAATAAATAAAATTAATCTGTCTGTATACTCACATTGTGCCACATAACTAAAAGTACGTAAAATAAGTGACACTGATAAGAAAATTCAATTTTTAAAAATTAAAAACCTCAGCAATTTCTGAGTATTTATTTTGCTTTTTCTCCCTTTCAGAACTATTTTATGTGTTTACATAATGGAGAGATTAGAAGATGTATGTAATTATAATTGTTTGGGTAAGAAAAGTGCACCTGAAATCATCTTGATTTTACAAAACCTAAAATCCTTCTAGGCAAAAACCAACCCCAAACCTTTACACGTTTAAAATTAACCTTCTAAGGTAAGATTCAACACAGGTTTTGAAATATTGCTGTAAAACACAAATCCAAAATCTTGTCCATATGATTCTAATGTATATATTTTTTGAACTGTGAACAATATCTGAATGTTCAGAAATATTTTATCATTTTCCTGTCTTGCTCATCAATGCATGAATATCCAGTTAAAAAGTGATTAGTTTGATTAGTGATTAGTTTGTCTTGTCAGAAAGAGTTATTTCCTGTACATAAAACATGATTTTTACACACAAGAAGAAGAAACAAGAAGAAATCAGAAGATCTCTGAGACTTGAAAACACCTCCTAAGTCACAGTAGGCTAATTATTCTTAGTTAGACAGTAGCTATTCTAATAATGTCTCTCCCAAACTCTCTTTCAAGATTAAGGATTACATACCAGGAATAGCAATTGTTTCCATGTCTATGTGTGCTTGATCAAAACCAGGTAAGAATTAAACTTGTCATTAGATTGACATGCATTGTGTGAAATACCAAAAAATTTTACAGTGACTAAAATGGCATATAAATCAAGCTGGAATGCTCCTTATTAGAAATTCATGTTCAATAATTTAGGTTTATTAAGACTGTAACAATGCCTTTAAAAGAATTGTTTCCAATGTCTCCTATATAGTTTTTCTGAGATAATTCCTTATCATTTGAAACAAACAGGATTTAGCAGTTTTGTGAAATTTAGCATTTTTTTTCTGCTTCTAAGTAAGAGCAGCTGGCCTCACACATTGCTACAGCCACCACAAAATTACAGACAGCACTGGGAAAGCAAAACTGAAATTCTGTTCAGTCCTGGCAAACCCCAGCACAGGGGAATAACTACTTCAGGTTTTACTTCTTGGAGCTGAGTTTCAAACATCTATTTCACATAAAGTATTTCCTTAGTTAAGTGAAGATTTCTCATCACACTTATACCAACATTTGCATTTTGAGATTTGGGGAAGAAAAGTGTAAGGAATTCATAGTAAATCACATAACATTGCCCACCTATTTCCAAATGTCACAAATACTTTGTTAAACATTCACTGTTTTAAAAATCCCTCACCAGTACCTTTGAAAGGTGACTGGAACTGTAAACGGAAAGGAATAGTCCCTAGAGAAAGTCTTCCTTCACAGATGGTGGCATCAAGGTTTTCAAACCTGTGTTTAGGTACAGAGATAACAATGCCTGAGGTTGAACAATGGCACATAGCAACATCTCCCACTGACAAGTCCTAACACTTGGTGCTTCAGGAAGGCAAGTCACAAAGACCCTGCCCTCCCACAAGCCTGAACATGCAGCCCTGGCAGGCAGGGAGAAATTCTCTCTTGAGATGCCAGGGCAGAAAATTCACTGATTCAAACAGAATCATGTGCTGCCTTCCACACCATCTGTCCATAGCCCATTCCATCTCCCATAACCTC